TATACATAGACCAGGCAATTTTGATGATGATGATGAAGAAGAAGAAGAAGAAGAAGAAGAAGAAGATGAAGATGGAGTTGATGATGATAGTGATTGCTGTGGTGATGATTATTTTGAATTTTTAGTGGTTGTGATGGTGATGATGATTATGCTAATGATGATTATGATGAAGATGATGGAGATGATGATGATGGTGATGATGATGATGACGACGATGACAAAGAAAGCAGCTTAGCTAAGTCACTAAATTGGTGCTGGTCCCTGTGTGTGCGATAAACAGCGGAGGTCTGTATAACATTGGTTCTGGGTTCAATTCCATTAGTACTCTTAGACACCACCAGAGACCTTTTTGTCAGCCTCGGGACCTTTGCCAGCCTCCAGACCCTCGCCACCGAGGGCCCCAGGATCCAGGGTAGCTCTCGGCACCCCTGTCAATGGATACGTAAAGTTGCCAGTCATGATGCACGCACGATGCTTTGCGTTGAACTTACCAGCCTCGATATCTTCATTCTCTGTCATTGGTTCATTCTTATCACTACTCTCTTCAAAATCGCTAGCCATTACTCCTAAGAAATGAATAGGAAATGAATAATCAAAAATTAAAGTAACGGCAAAATACAATAATTATTTATTGGATAGCACTTTTATAACAGTGGCGCACACGTTAGACACTGACGGTGTATCCAAAGATAAATACAATATAGGCCTATGTATTCAAAAAGCAGCAAAATTATAAAATCAAAGTCTTAACTTTATTTGTTAACCTACTTGCTATTACTCTTTATTTATGGGCGTGTCGAGTGGCCGAGCGGTAAGGCCGGGCACCGCTAGCTACGGCTTTAACAACGGCGCTGGTTCCAGCCGCTCCTCGCCCATGGTTCGGTTGGTAGAACCAAGTCTTCTCAGATAAGGACTAAAAATGGAGGTCCAGTGTATACATTTGGCCCATTACATCTTTCGGAACAGTAGTGTGTTACCCCGATGTTATGGTTCATTTCAGCCCCTCTCGTTGTGGAATGATGTGAAGATGTATCTACCATCAAGCGCCTATTTACGGCTGCTAGGTAGTCACTGACCACGCCCATACGAAATTCAGCACAATGACGCTGCAAGTTATGGGTTATTCTCCTACCTTTACCTTTATAATTTACATCATACGACTACTTATTTTATTCAACTTGAAATAAGAAATCGCATGTGATGCAAACTATCAATAGTAGGCCCTATACATTAAAATAATGACACTTTATAATTTAATTCATAATGAAATGTTTACTTACACGACGTTTAGTAAGTAAATGTTTCACTATTTATAATATATATATTTATAACACTATAATATAATAGCGCATTAACATCTTTTACGATCAACAATGAAATGAATAATCAATAACGAGCAACGAGTGACGGCATTAATATATTTTACGATCGACAATGAGTTCATACTTATAAAAAAAAAATATGGGGAGGACAGATATGAAATCTAGAAGATTATGAATATAAACATTACATTAATGACGATAGATTAAAAGAAATCTGTCCCTATACAATATAATACTAATACTAATACTAATAATAATAATAATAATAATAACAATAATAATAGTAATAATAATAATAAAAGTAATAATAATAATGATAATAATAATAATAATAATAATAATAATAATAATAAAGAAAATGATGAAGACGATGGATGGTTGACGACGACGATGATGACGATAATGATGACAGCATGATGACGATGATGTGATGAAGTTGATTTAAAGAGTGATGATGATGGTAATGATGATCATAATGATGATGGCAATGATGATCATGATGGTATTACCTTTATGATTGTAAAATTGTAATGGTAAAGATAGGTATGATGATAATGGTGGCGTTATGAAAATAACGGTTATGTATGAAGCATATGAAACTGTTGATGATGAGGATGGCAATGAAAAAAAGAGTTATAAGTAATAAATTATTACCAATCCCAGTAGTTGTCATATCTGACACTGTAGTTGGACGAGGGCTTGTGCTGCGATATTCTGAGTGCAAATATCTAGCAGTTTCCATTTCGTTGACTGACGTTTCAGTTGTCCGCAAGCTGGACGCATAATCACCACTATCCCCATCTCCACTATATCGAATCGTATTTATTTTGCTATTGACTAACGTGGTATGCTGCGGCTCTGCCCAATCACTATCCCCTACCCTATTGTCTCCAGTCGCAAAATTTCTGTTTTGGACTGCCGTTGTTTTGGACTGCCGCAAAATTTCTGTTTTGGACTGCTCAGTCGATTCTATCTTAGGAATCACATTAGTACTAAAATGGCTCTGAATCGGGTAGTTGTTTGTGTTCATCTGCATATGTGTCTCAGAGCTGGGAGCGATAGTATTCCCGAGGGTAGGGAGGGTGGTGTTAACATACACACTACTATCAAATCCAATCATTGTGAGATAGTCTGTGCAGTTTGCAGTCGAGTCTATGCAATTTTTATTGCACTTCTTAAATACGCCATTGCGTCTATCGTTTTCCCAAACACATTCAGTTAGTGCACACTTTACCTCTAACGGCCGAGTGGTGGTTGTTCCTAAATACTCCGCACTACAGTGGTCGCTCAAACCTTTAAAATAATGAAATTTTAGTCCCATTTAGAAAAAAAAATACATATAATGCAATATATAGTTGAAACAATATTAATGTTAAATTTATAGCTGCAATATTATTTAACCCACCCTTTCTTAGTTATTAATAAACATAATTTTGAGAGGTGGGTGGGGGAAGGGGTTCTTACTTTTTGATGTATGACGTCAATAGGGTGTAGGTGAATTCTATTTGTAATAAGTTGGACGGATGTAAATGGTTGTACTAAAAGTTTAGATTATAAAGAAAATAAAAGTAAATCTGCTATAATTATTATGTTGACTAAAATGTAATCAATTTTTTAATGTTGAATTTTATTAAAATTAAGCATGTTTTGGAGATAGAACATTACAATCAACTTGACTACGCCTCGTAGAAAGGAATATTGTTATTGTTTTTTATCCTATTTCACTAAACTTAATAACAATAATTAATTATTGTGAAAAAATAAAAAATATTAAAAAATAAATTAAGGATATTTTGTGGTCTTTACCTATTTCACACCCTAAAATCTGGATATTTACGTCGTACCAAAAATATCTGGGTTTTGAGTTAGCCATAATATTATTATTCGTCTGAAATATTGTTGAACCGTTGGCACGTTTGATCACAAAGTTTTTGTCTTCATATAATATCGAGATGTTGTAACCATCAAATACTGTTTTCTCAAACTTCTCGTTTCCTTCGTAAAAATCAAATTCCAACCAATTTTGATCTTCTTTCTCTACTCTAATTTTAAAATTAAACGTAGTCGAGGAGATACTCGGCCTGAACGAAAGGTGCACGTGATCAATAGCAGTATGAAAATCCAAAGTTGTGTTAACACTGAATCGTCTGATATCATCCGGAAGATGAATAAAATTGTAGACATGATATCCGCTGCCGCAACCTATATTTGTTAAATTTAAAAAAATAAGATGATGTGTTAAATTAGGTTAATTTATGAAAACACCAAAGCTTTAATCTTTTGAGTTAAAGCAACCCTATTCCCTTGCATGCAAGCGTGCCGAACGCAGTGGAAATAAGAGTGCTGAGGTACTTTAATACGTGCTAATGGTTTTACATAATTATGCAAATTATCAAATTTACGATTGGTTAATTGAAAATAGTCAGTTCAATTTCTCATCATAAGTTGGTTTACCTGGATGTTTGCAGGTTTATTTGAGGGGTTGTTAATTAAAACAATACAATTACAATTAGTAGTTAAAGTTTAGTTAGTTCATCAGAGACGGTGGCACGGGCCTAGTTTGAGCGTTGGGTTGGTAGGTCCCTACCAGAAACCAAAGCTGACGCCAGGGGGTTGCCGGCTGAAGTCCAGTGCTTCGAAAAGTGAGCGGGGCTTTTTTTACGTTCTGTGAGACTAATTTGGTGATTTGTTTTAATAGGGCTAATGTAATCTCCTATAATACCTTCCGACCAAAATAAACAACAGCCAACTGTTGATCCATCGCCCTGTTGTCAAAATTAAAATTATTGGGGGCCTATAAGAGGGTTAGCCTACCCACTAAAATTGCTGAGTGGGGCTAGGCCCACACGACCCACCATGTTCCGCCACCAGTGATATTCATCCCAAACAATGTATATTCATTATAATTTAAACAAAATTCAAGCAAAACTTTATTCGCAATGTGATTTTTAAAATCTTACTTTTAGGATTTGACAAATCTGAAGATAATGAAAATTTCTGTTTTATCTGACAATCTTTTCAAAATATTGTATTATACTGAACGGGTTTCACTGACTGTAATAGTTATTAATATTTCATGAACGTTTTTAGTTTATTAAGGTTTCGACAATAACTTAATTTCATTATTCTTATAGCAAAATAAAACTGAAATAAATTTGTATAATATCAAAAATACCAAAGAATAACAATACTGTCAGACGAATACAGTACATTTAGACAAACTTATGTTATAAATTTATTTATAGGCCTAGAGCGATCCATCAGTTGTTTTGACCACAATGGACATAAGTTGACTTCAGGGTTTGCTTTTGCAGCGTAATTTTAAAATATTTGTTTTTATTGATTTCTGATCTCCCTAAATAAACAAATTATGAGGAATCGCAAGCAAAATTGCTTACAATTTACTTTTTTTCAGGTGAGTGCAAACAGGCATAGATAGGGCACGTGCTCGGGGCGCCAAACAGGAGGCGGATTCCAAAAGATATATATGACTTTAAGATTCCGAAGCTATAGACGAAAGTGTAATTTTTTTAATCATCAACAAACAAGCTCAGAAAAAAGTGCTGGAAAGGGACGACATTGCCATTTTTTCTCCTGGTGGAAATAGCCCTACGACCCTAAGTGAGTGAGTAGTCTTTTGATAAATTTGTTTTTCTAGTTTTCATTTTCGTTGCTACAGGTATATTCGATTCTTTTAATGAGCCTTAATATCTCTAAAAACGGTCTTACCTCTTCCATCGATGGTAATGCAAATCGAAGAGAGAACCATCCAGAAGGAGATCCTCGGCACTGTCATAATTTCAGACAAAAACTTATCTATGCGAAAAATAAAAGCAAGATTAAGTTGTCATGATTATCAACGAATCTTAGTCAACGATTCATTTCGACTAGAGGCATAAGTTGGTTGGGCTCGAAAAGCATTTCGTTCGGCTGGGCATAGCATGGAAATATTCTAAGCGGTGTTAGCAAACATCTTTGTTTGATTTTTGGCACACAAATTGCAAAACTTATTAACAGCACAAATACCAGCTTGTAGATAAGGAAATTCAGTGGAAGCTAAAGTTATGAGGCTGTGATTGACTTAATATTAATTGGAAGTGACATTTTTTGCTACAAAGATTTTTTTTGTATATTTTAGACTTTTAGATGTTTAGGTATACTTGGATTTCTTAATGTAGCTATGTGTCTTGTGTCTTTTTTTGCAATAATTCATATTTTTATATCTTTGTATTTATGTATTTAGTTGTGCATACAATAATTTTAGCCTTTGTGCTACCAATTGTATTTTGATGTTTTTATACAAGCTTTTGATTGCGTTAGTTTGGTGTTTTTAGAAGCATCAAAGAAAACAGAGTAAGAATATTCTATTGGAATACATAGGCATATGTGTTAAATCAAACACAAGGTAAGAAAATAGTCAAAATGGAATTGAAATCAAATCATGTTTTCTTTCTCCACCATTTCACGGAGGTTGTAATTCATGGACACATTATGTTAATTATATTGTACTGTCAATTACAAGAAGTTGTGGTTCTCAACGTAGATTTAAATAAATATTAAGCGAAGGCAATTAAGAAATAACGAGGACATGATAATAACATTCTGACATCATAATAACATCACAAGTCTGAAAATTCAAGTGTCATAAAAATCTTCTTAAATATGGTGGAAAATGTAAATTCACCAGAAGGGTGGAGATAAAGAAACATATTCAATATTATGAATGCAGTATTAACATCATTTAGAACTAAAATGTTATTCTATTACATGGTACACACAGTTATAACTAAATGCTGTCTCGTAAGAATTTCGTAGGACGCGTTAAGAATGACAAAATATTCTCTGTATCTACTGGAACCGAGCCACATAGCTTGTATTCCACTATTTGCATCTGGGCTGTGTATATATATATTGCCTTGGTTTGGCTCTGTAGTCATTAGTGGTCGTGGGACTAGTTTGGGCCCTACCCAAGCTGGTCGAACGTTTCGTTTGTTCTATTACCCTAGCTGCACTGAT